TTTCTCCAGTACCACGGGGGAATGATTTCCGTTGTTCCCTGTACTAGTCACAAAATTTCGTTACATTAGGTAACGGACTTCTCATTTGAAAGAGGTCATATGGTGCGGCGAGGTGCACCAAGGACATGAGCAACTTCGCAACCTGATATCGTCGCTATTACACCGATTGCTTTGAGCTTCGTCGAATTCGTGCAAGATAAGCACCGAGTATTTTTTGTACTCGATGTGAAAATCCCGCTGGCGCGGGCGTAACACGTCCACCGATGACATTGTGGTTTTTGGATACTGAAATGTACAGGAAAATATTTGAGTAAGTCACAAACATCTTCGGTGGACGTTGCATTCTGTCTTCCCAGTAGATGAGAAAAGAGTGTGCGGCCCTTGATGTGCACGTTAGAAATTTATTCTGCATATCGATTTTCAAAGGTATAACGACACATCTACAAACGAAATAAAGAAAATTGTCTTAGGCACGCGCCACTTCAGCTTGTACAGCAGCAAGGTCGCCTTGTCGTCGGGTTCTTCAAGCAAGGCAACGTTAACGACAGCAGGGTTACATTCGGAATTCTCGTGCAAGCAACCGACACCATCCCGTTTGGCTTTCGTCAGGTGGGAGATCTTGAAGTGATTGCATCCTTCCACTGTTTAAAATCTCCGAAATTACGACTTGTAGCGTGGAAAAATTGGAAACCAACGTTGTATGAAATACGTCATTCGAAGAATTAACGACATCACGAGCAATGCGTGTGATGCGTGAGATTACGCTGTCTGCCCTTGGATATCGGCCTGATCACAGATTACAAGCACCACCTGCGATACGCGGTTGTTTAAGGATCAAGTGTTTGCGGAAGACAATAACCCATTTTCACTTCCTCACAGCAGAAGTGCCCTGTCCGTGTTAAAGCGTGCCATCATTGCCTTGGACTTGGTGTAATCGTCAGTGCTTTGAAAATACACTTCCAGATAATTGAAAATATACATTTGTTTGTTTATCTATTACATACAAATTCCATATAGTGGTGGGCAATGTTTCATTGGACATAACTTTAGATAAAGTTCGACGTTAGCAGGACTTGAATCCGGGCTCGCCCAAGGCAAACAGCGTTGTTCACCACTGCGTTAAAGCGTCCTAAGCATACAGGTGTTTCTTGTCCATATTACAGATAAAAGCCTTGACCTGTGATGTCCTCTTTCAAATGAGAAGTCCGTTACCTAATGTAACGAAATTTTGTGACTAGTACAGGGAACAACGGAAATCATTCCCCCGTGGTACTGGAGAAATATCTTGAAATCTGTATTAGGCAATTAAATTTGGTCCTTTGGTTTAGCAGAAACCATAGATCTGTTGAATTTCTGGTTGAGCATGACACTGGTCAAAATTTAGGGAATTGCGCCCACGATCAAGCTATTGCGACCAAGTTATGAGTACTATCAGTGTATTCACATCTAGTTGATACTTGTAGTAGTATATTATCCAGTTCACTGAGGCAGAGCCTTCGTACACGAGCGACTGACAGCTTCACAAGATGTTTCCTCCCATGCGGCAATCGTTTGTTGAACCATGGCCAGTCTCTGCTCCGCCTCAGACACCGCAAGCATATCGCGGGGCCATTTGTACCTCGATTCGATCCTCAGTGAGGGCATAACGTCGACATCCAAAGGTTGTCAGACGCTACTTGAGTTCTTCGGTAGGAGTTGAAGAATGATAAACACCGGAGAAGATATGATATCATAGGACCATCAGACACATGGCAGTCCTGATTGCCTGCGATGGTAACGGATGGTCCATAGATCTCATACTTCAACAGCTCTGTAAGGTAGAACTCCCACACCAGGGTGTGCATCCAAGCACTATCTTCTACGACGTACATGTGACCAGGCGGGGAAGTCGGCAGCTCTCTTGCGTCGATGGATCCACCAGGTTGGCCCTTCAGCACGAAGAGTATGTGGGACTTGTCACCATTCGATCGCACTGACATGACTGTGGTCAACCGGTCTGAGTGCTTATCACTCTTGTCAACCTTGGTTAAGCCATCGATCCTGAGTAGGGTCTTGATTGGGGATATGTCGTAATAGACAGGTGTTTCGTAATGTTGATATTGGTTGCAAGGTATTGGTCAAGCCACTCCTTGTGATGAGTACCTGACGAGGTGACCATGGGTTAGAGAGTGCTTCCCTTCATTGACACCTTCATGAAGGCAAGGAGCTCGGAAGCAAACGGTAGGGACTCCTTGCGCCCTTGACCACAAAGAGTGCACTTCTTGCCGTTTACATGGTTTTGTTCAATATCGAGTCACGGCGTGCAAGCCAATTACGCCACGTCTTCCAGTCGATGATGTTGGCATTAGCATATCCTTTTGAAGTTAATGGAGATGAGTCGAAGCCTTTGATGAACTTCTTGCGCTCGGCGTTCGTGCGTCTCGTGTAACCCATGTCCTCTTTGTCAACTGGAACTTAGAAACAGCCGATCCGTATGGCACTTTTATCATAATTCTAATATACATATTGCCTTTACATATGTATCACGTCTCTGCACATTTAAATACATATGACCGAGCTTGTCACAGCATTTCGACAAAACTAGTACGCGGTGTTGTCGATGCTGGCTAACCAGTGCTCCAATACCCCTCGAGGGTTGTTAGCGCACTTTGTTAATGCCGTTTTACGGTCGTTCTCCAAGTAACTTGGCGTAAAAAGCTGTTCTAGTGATAGAATAGTTTCTTGAATGTCCATTCGTTTCCTGTTGCGTTTCAAGAGAGCGAAAGAGGAGGTGAGGGGATATTTTTTTTGGTTTCATACTTTTCACTTCCCCTCAGCCCATTTAGACAGTGGTTTTCGTCACTGCACATGGCGCCAACGCAAATAGACACTCCTCAACTTGCTACACAGCCCAATGGTCCATTCCGTTGCTCAATTCATGACTCTTTTGGCCCTGGCGAAGACGCGATCTGCCCGTCAAATGCTCGTAACACTATGTCTACAAATACATCGAGCCGCCGCTCACCGCCTCCGTTGTGTTTTCACTGGATGGATATCGTGCTCTGCTCGACTTTCGGCTTGACGTTCACGGCGTAATACGACTTCGCTTCCTGCTCGGCACCCCTGCAGTTATAATCACAAAAGCCACAACACACGAATCTGGCGGGACGAAGCTATGTGTGTCATGCTCAGTCGTCTCACGTTCCATCGCCGCATTTACGACATGGCTCGAATGTTTGGCAGATTACGTGGGCGTCACAGTGATACCTTATCATATATTATCCATGAAAACTACGATCGTACTGTAGGAAGTCACTCTTGTTTCTCAATGCGAAATTTCTCCGAGCTAACATGGACAATTTCTGCTCTGCTGTGAACAACCGAGGGTCTTGGTTGAAATGTGGTTTACATTCATCCATGGAACCAAAGTTCAAACACCACCTATATCGGCAACAGGTGATGGCATGAAATTGCAAAAGCAGTTGTACAGTAGACACAAACGAATACGTTGTTTCAATTATCAAGCAGTGTCTACACCTGACGGCATCTGCATACACTATTGGGGGACCAGTGGAGGGTCGACAACTTGGCTCTGCCGTGCTTGCTCGCAACGGTCTGTGGAGGGAGTTTGCAAGCAACCCCATGATATTCGACGCGAAGTTCATATATGGTGACCCTGCTTATGGAGTGACGAAGTACACTATCAGTGATTTAAGAGAAACTACTTGTCCGAAGGAAAGCAGCTATTCAACAAAGCTATGAGTTGCGTATGTCAATCAGTTGAGTGGTCAAAATCATAAAATTTGTGAGCCTACATTACATTCAAGAACTTGGCGAAACAATCCCAGTCGCAAAATTGTTTGTATCGCAATGCTGTTGACAAGTTGCCATTGCTGTCATTTCGAAGGAAAGAAACCATTTCGTACTTTGATATTGCACCGCCAACATTAGAAGAATATCTGGATACGGTAGAAGTAGAAACATTTTAGTAGAACCCATTTTGGAATCATTGTTCATCTTTGATTTACAACTTTTTCAATAACACTTCAAATACAGTAGTCATTGCACTTTGCATCATGTGCATTTGTTGCATCTGCATTTTGCGATCAGTTTTCGCTCGTCCATCTCATGTTCGTAACTTCACTATTGTTTGCCTCATTCGTGAGAGCAACCACCTTCAGTATTTTGCCTCCTCCACCGAGGTGTTTCACAGTCGACGTTGTCGATCTGTCGCTTGCCTGGTGACTTCACCGAACTTGCGCTTCAGCCTCCACAGCACGTTGATCAGCACTTGCACATCGCTCGTCTTCATCGTCTGCACTTTCATTTTGCTTGCAAGTTCGTCAAGCAGAATGGTCGTCTCGTTGACGTCTTCTACAACGCCGGATGCTCTCGCAGATGCGGCAGTCGAGTTGGCATGGTCACGCGTGAGAAGCGTAAAGCGTGCTTGAACCTTCTTGCCCTCAAAGTTGGGACGGTCAAATTCGTCGAGCGACGCAAGGTTCTTGTCAACGGAGTCTCTCACATCCATTATCGAGCCACAGAGAGCAAGAAAGGGTTGCTGGGAGCTCACTTGCGTCAGCAACATGACGTCTTTGTCCAGAGTGAACTGGCGACGCTTAACTGGCTTTGCCATGGCGAACCCGGAGCTGAGAGGATTTGCATCCTCTCCGACCTCGACGGGCGGGAGTTTCCGTCCGGGTTCTCACAGTGAAATTGAAACCAAGTGATGGGGAGCGGAAAAGGAGCTGAGAGAACTTTTAGAAACCATTCAAATGGGACTACTGAGGTATTAGCGGTACTCGAACCCGGGTCACGTGGATAACAGCCGGTGCTTGACCGCTTAAACAATAGACACTGTGGGCTAGTTGAATTGAATTTCGAATTTCATTAAGCTTCGATAAAGACAATGTTATAAGTATAAGTATGCTCGTCGAACTGCGACGACCCCTGGCCACATAGAATTCAGAACTTCATGTGTCGAAGAGAAGGAGGGCTGCGCAGGAAGGATTAGAATACACCATTATGAATGAAATTATGCAAACATAAAATCTAAAAGGCTAACAACTTCGTGGCCATGTGGAGTGCTCTTCCCCACGGTAGAGCGCGAGCGTTCAAAATCCACGGCACATGAACTGGGATGAAAATGGAGTGGAATCGTAGCGCACCTGTCGTGTTGTGGTGTCCTCACTTTGGTAGATAGGAGCGAGCTGATTCACCTTGTTTGTCGTTCTGGCTGGAGGATCTCGTCGGTACGATGCTGTTCGTCCCGACATCGAGCTCGCTATCTGAATCAGACGGCAAAGTTACCCTAGACGACGTCTGGTCGATCCCGACCATTAGCCCAAGAAGAGACTGTATTCAGCTGAGCAAATCAGACCAAGAGGATCCA